TGGGTGTGGAATCACTTTCAGGATTTTTTTTTTTCTTGCTCTTAGATTGGGAGATGGAGATCCTTCACTCCACTGAGGAATGCTCATTGGTGGCACTAAGCTTTGGACAGTTCTGCTCCACTTTCAAGCAGTGCTGGTGGAAGGGATATCTCCCTGGCCAGGAATAAGCTAATTTTATTTGAATGACTAGTCTGAGTAATTTTTTTTTTTTTAAGCATTTAAAAACACTACACTGCTGTTAGAGGGGCAGCTCCTATAACTTGAAGAGGGGAGAAGAGTGATGAACAATGGAAAAGCAATAAGCTTCCATCCATCTGGATCTGGAAGTGCACATCTGTCAACAGACAAATCTGTGCAGCTTAAGAAGAACTCAAATGTAGTGTTATTGCCCCAAGAAGTGCCATCTTGTGTCCTGTTTGGGTCCCATAATTATTCATTGCTCAAAAAGGCAAAGGTAGTGCCCATCTTCACTGGAGCTGTGAGCCCCAAATCACAGCTTTGTAGATTCTACTTCGACTTTTAGGAAGACTTCTTCCCTGGGAGGGTGGTGCAGCCCAGGACAGATTACCCAGGCATGTAGGGGGATCTCCATCCTTGGAGGGTTTCAGAGCTTGGCTAGAAAAAGCTACAGCATTGGCAATAGTCCTGCTGGAGCAGGATGCTGGACTAGACTTTGGAGGTGTCTTCCAGCCGGCATTTTTGTGATATTCTTTAATATCCTCTCTAGCTTTTACTGGAGTGGAAAGTATTTCATCTTGACCGGTTGCGAATCCAGACTCTTTTTGAATGTAGGATGGATTTATTTATTGGAAAACTGCTTGGTCTGTGTTGCTGTTGAAAGCCAGGTCATAATCATTTGCACAGAAGACAGCTGTGCCAGGAGATGACAGCATGGGCAATCACAGTGAGCAGCTTTGTAGAAGGGAGAGAATATGTAGCTTTAAATTTTTTTCAAAATCACTTTCTGAACAGTGATACAAGTTATAAGATACAACATACAAAAATTTCAGTTAATACCTCAGGGAATGGTCTGGTTTTGACACGTACACGCACAAACTGATGTTGTTCCTGCTAATGGCCACTTCTCAGTGTCACACTGGTTGCCGTTGGCCCAGGGGAGGAAGCCAATTAGCCTGATTTAAATACCCAGTGGGAGATACTGCAAAAGGCAAATGCACAGACCAGATAGTGGAAAGGTAAATATGACTGGAGCTTGTCCATCTGTTGTTTGTTTGTACTGCAGGTACAGAGATGTAGCAATTATGTTCTACATAATGGTGCCAACTTGAGAGCTGGCAGATGAACATCAAAGTGGAAGGGAATTTGCAGTGTGCTGGGGGCTGCCCTGGGCTGCCAGCAGGGATGAGGCAGTGAGGTACAGCTGTTTCAGGAACAAGGCGGCGGTGAGAGGAGGGACATGGCAAACTGTGGAGCAGAGAAACACAGATGGCAGTGGACTGGAGGTGAAACCTACTCTGTGCAGTGTAGAGCGAGGGTGTGATGGAGGGAGACTTGTGCACAGTGACTCCTTTCCAGTCACCCATGAAGGGTAATGGGTGACAGGAGTGCCTAGCCTGAGCAGCAGAAGACAGCCAGGCCAATGTCAGTCCTTCAGGGAAAGCATGAGAGGCCCCATCCCGCTGTCATGTGAAAATACGCAGGAGTGCTCTAAGGCATATGTGGTGTCTTTCAAGGGCTGTTCCTGCATGAGGACTGTTTGAATGAATTGGAAAACAGATCTTGTCATCTCCACTCATTTTTACTGTCAGTTGGCATGAAGCAGCAGGCCAGCATATTCCTAAACTGCAGATGGATATGGAAACATGAGCAAAAGCTGCTGAAGCACAGAGCAGAGCGTGATGTGTAACACCTGCAGCCGCACATCTGTCTGCATAGCTGGGGAAGTGATTTTGGCATATGTGTTTGGGCCTTGATGGGTAGGAGTATTTGAGTGACATGTGCAGTACGGTTCCTATATTTGGGCGGTTGTTAAGACAATTAAGTGACTGAGCAGTAAACTTGAGCTTTGTGTGGAGGGCTGGCTTGGTGTTATGGCTCTGAAGGGTCTCTGGGGAGCAGGTCCTCAGCCTTCAGGGACTTGCTGCAGTGAAAAGGCTGCAGCAGTTTTTCTTAGACCCTGCCGTGATTGACTGTGCAGGGCTGAGGTTAGCTGATATCTGTAGCATGTTGGTGGCCAGCAAAGGGGTACCTGTGCTGTCTCTATTTAGAAAGAACTGAGAATTTAAGAAGCCAGTGTGGTTTGAGCTTAGGCTTCAAGGTTTTGGGGCTCTCTGGGGCCTTTATAACTCCCAGAGCTTCTGTGGTGCCTGTCACCAAGATTTCCATCTCCCTGTTTTGACTGTTCCACCTAACCCAAGCTGACCAAACCTCAAGAGTGCATGACCTGTAGTTACCAAGCTCTTTGGGCTGCTGTGAGGGGAAAAAATATGCTCTTCATTCTAAAAGCAAGTGTAGGTACCTAGGCCTCTGATGCAGAGCTGTGATGAAGGGCATTGTAGACCCAGCTAAGAGAGGGCAGAAGTAAATCTGCCACATCCTGACTTCTCAAGGCTTGTTGGCACTTGTGGTTCCTTGATTTCTGGAGTAAAAACTGTGTTGAAAATTGACAATCTCAGGAAGTGCCCCAGGCTAGGAAACCTTTTGATACAAGGAGGACCTTTGGAAAGCCCTGAAGGGGGGGAGTCCCCTGCTTTTCCAGGGGATTTCTGTGGTAGGCATGCCTAAGGTAAGAACCAATTTAATATACTTCACTTTTCATGTAAATGAGGGACACAACCCAAATGCCTTCGGATTTGGGTCCCACGGGAGAAGAAACCTTGAGGGTGGCAGTATCAGTTCTGGCTTTGTGCACCTGCTTTTGGCTCACGAGCCTCTCTTGCTGTCCTTTCCTGCAGGTTGCTGCACTATTTCCGAGGCCGACACCATTTGGAGGAGATCATGTACAACGAGAACATGCGTCGCTCCCAGCTGCTGATGCTGTTTGACAAATTCCGCAGTGTGCTGGTGGTGACCAGCCATGAGGACCCCGTGATTTCAGTTTTTCAGTCTCTCTTAAAGTGACTCTACTGGCAAAGGAAGGGTACCTGCTACACTCTCCATACTGATAGTCTAAAAGATGCCTAAAAACTAAAGGAGGGAGGTGATTTCAATTCTTTCTTGCCATGTGACACAGAGCAGGTTCTCCCTGGTTAAACCATGACACCCTCTGTGTCTCAATTTCCCATCTGCTCCCGATGGTGACACCTGAGGCCGGTCTGTGTGAGGGCTCTGGGGCCTGCTGCAGGACAGCATGTGCTTGCTCAGCCTGGATTCGTGCTGTGCCACATTCACAGCATGGGAGCTGCCAGTTCACAGCCCTTCCCTGACCCTGCTCCCTCCCCAGGGTTTGTGAGAGTGGTCCAAGATTTCCACTGCAGTGTTACTGACAGTACTTCACCTTTGGGTGTATGCTGGTGCATCTGAGATCCTTTCTCTGCTGTCCAACATGACTGCTGGGTCATTCAGCCTATCCCCATGGCAAAACATGTATGGCCTCTGCTCAAGGGCAGAGTGGAGTTGGCCTGGCTTTTAGGGAAATGTCCCTGGGCATCGAGGAATGCTGTTTGATCATTGTTACCTGGCAGCAGTGAGGACATAGGTAGGAAGGCAAAGTATCACAAGTAAACAGTTTCATGAATGAGAATGACTCGCTCAGTGTGTTACAGCTTATTATTTCTTCTCCCCTTATTACTAAGTGTCTATTGGAGCACAGCTGTCACCGAGCTCCGTATGTGTTTGTGGGTGTTCAGGGTTTCCAGTTTTTGGCTGGGAAGCACAACTGGAAATTAGCTGGCCAACCTGCAAGCACACGGACATACTAGTTCCACAGAGCCAGAGGCTGGTGCTAAGGGCACTCAGACTTGTCCCCTAGGGCTTGTTTTGTTCCTCCATTCCCCTCCCTGCAAGCATGGTTGTGGCTGCAGGGAGCCAGACTGGGAACCTGGCCTGGGTTAAAGCTAGCCAGGTGAAAAAACAAGATACAGGTCTGTATGTGGCTGTGTTTCCTGATGTGGCTTTTCCAGCTGTGCCAGGGCTAGAACAAGAGCTGATAGCCCTGTTTCTGGGGACAGCAGGAGCTTATGCCAGCTCAGGCCTGAGGCCACTTCCCCACAGTGGCTCACTGCACTGTGCTGCACACCCAGGGAAGGGTGGGGGAGATCTTTACCTCCATGGCGGAAGCTTCCAGGGGTGTGTGTTCTTAAAAGATTGTCAAGCTCCTCCTTAAGACCTTCCCTTATACCACACACACAAGCTGGAGTTTTTCCCAGAGTTGCAGGCTCTCACAGAGCAGCTTCACTTGCCCACTCAAACTGGGTGAAACTGTGAGCTTTATATAACTTATCTATGATCAGCAAGGCACAGTGTCCACAGTGCATCAGATACCAGATGACAGCTACTTACAGTCCCTTCAGTGAGTCTTCCCCTGCAGCTGCAAGCAGGGATGTTATATAAAAGCAAAAGCAGTATCTGACCTAAAAATCAGATCAACATTGTAGAGCCTCAGTCCCAACCGGCCCTCAGCAACTGTGTCTCACGGTGAGCTACTGAGATCAACATTAACAAGGGCTATTTAGAAGGGGCCAAACAAGATTTTTTTCATGTGATGGGGACAAGGATTTTGAAAAACTTGAGCTTTTTTCCTTGCAAGTGAATCCTAAGGTGGTGAGGACAGGGTATCCCTGTCACCCTTCAAACTGCCAGCGTGGCTGCAGTTCTGCAGGTTCTGCCCTAAATCCTAGTGGTTTTTCCCCCCCTGTACCTCATGGCAGGCTACAGCACCATAGAAATCTCAGCATCGGTGCATTCTCTGTGTTGGGGTTCACACACTGGTAAGTTTTGAACTGGTCTCAAAAGCAGCTGGGAAAACAAACAAAAGACATTCTTGTTCTTCAAGCTGGATGTTATAGACTGGTATAGGTTGGAAGGGATGTCTGGAGGTTTGGACAAAGAAAATGTGTTAGATCAGGTCATGCAGGAGCTTGTCCAGTGGAGGTTTAAATACCCCACAGCTTCTCTGGGCCCCTGTTCCAGTGTTTGACCACTGTCATGGTGAAAATTTTTTCCATAAAGCTAATGAGAATTTCCTGTTTTCCGGCTTGTGCCCATTGCCTCTCATCCTGTCTGAAAAAATCCTGGCTGTCTTCTCTGCACCCTCCCACTAGGTAGTTGTAGACAACAGTAAGATCCCTCCTTTACCTCCTCTTCTCCCAGCTTGCAAGCTTTCAGTCAGCCCTGCTGCCATCCAGTCTTTTGACTATTCCTCTGCAGCAACCAAGTGATGGCCTCTATTGAGGGCCAGGGGTGGTGGGAGCAGCACAGCAGGTCAGAGCCATGAACCTTCACCACTCATTGACCTTAATTAAGCCTGGCTCCATTGGCAAGGGAGAAAGTGGCCTTCAATGTCCAAAACCAACCTCAGCTCTGGCTAGGAGATCCATGCTAGTCTGCCTCACAAATAAAATTCCACCTTGCCCCATTCATTGTGATAAAGTACATTTATTGTTAAAAAACCTCTGAGCCACTATGCCTGCCCTAGCTGCTGCCATGACAGCTTGAAGCTATCACACAGAGCACAGCTCAAGTCCTGGTCAGTAGCACACTTGTGAGACTTGTCAGCTGTAAGAGGAGTGTCCCATTGCTGCCATCTCTCTCTCTCTTTTCTTGTCTACAACACTCACAAATTTGTTTCCTCGTAAATAAAACCTGAGAGGTTTCTGTGCCCACTCTCCCCTGTTGCCAATACCAATCCTTGTTGTGGCTACCACGTCCTGCTCCCCTGGTAGGTCATGTCCAGGTGCCATCCAGATGGCTGCATCTTGAGTCAGGTCTCTTTGGTCAAAAGCCTTATCAATCCCAAACGCTTGGCAGAGCTTGGAGGGCCCATTACACAGCTGCCAGTCCTTCAGCAGCTTTGTGGGTCCTTTCTTTGAAGCACTGCGCAGCTCTCTCATCGCATCTAAACCCTGAAGAGGTTCCAAAGAGCGAAGTAATACTGCAGCCCCTTCCCCTGTGCAGAACAAGAACCATGTGTTAGTACAGCATTGTTCATCAAGAACATCTCAGCTTTCAGCCCTGCCGCCAGCAGGAGCACTTCAGCTCTGAGCCTGTGGCTGAATTTAGCCTGATGGAGCAGGGAATTGCCTGCACAACCCAATCACAGGGTCTGTCCTATTCTCTCAGGCCGCTTTGCTTCAAATGCCAGGCTCTGGAGTCAACCACTAACCCGTGATCAGTGCACTCCCTTCTGTCTTCTGAATATCCAGTGTCCCATAGCTCTGTGTCCTTTATTTATCAGTGCTGACTTGCTCTTCCCCAGCCCCACTTCTTGATGTTACTAAGTCTAGCTGCTGCTCTGTGGCTTGCCAGAGGGCAAGAGGTTTTTCTTATGTCAGCACAATGTTCAGGAATAAATACACATATGGTTCAGTTTTGGCATAGCTATCCAAAGCTGCTCCCAAACCCAGTGGATTTATAATTACAACAACTTCAGCTAACAAAGGAGAAGAGGAATGAGTCTGGATGCTGCCAGCAGAAAGAGGCAGCTTTGCAGAGTTAGGGTGGACAAAGAGAAACCTGGGAAGGAACTGCAGGCACCAAGAGCAGCTGCTGTCTGTGCTGCTGCTGAGGGAGCCCCAGCTGTAGGTGTTGCCAGTTCAAACACCCACTTGGAGGTGTAACAGCAGGTGGGATGACCATGGCTTTGGGTAACTGCATAGCTACAATGGAGAGCAATCTGAACCCTTGTGCCAGGGAAGCTCCTGCAAGACAGGAACCTGGGGCAGGATGGGGCTGCACAGTCTCTGGCTGTGGGAGCATCACTTCAGCGGAGAAGACCTTTCTATGGCAAGAAGCAAAGAAAACTGACAGATTCTCTTCTCAAATGTGATTTGCACCCTGTCAGGAAGCTTAGGAAACTCCAGCCCCCGCAGCTGTTGTAACCAGCTGCCCTCCCTGATTTTGGTGACAGTGAAGCAAAGATGTAGCTCTGAGCACAGACATTCCCCTGTGACAAGATCTCCAGCCTAAGTGGGACTTAAACACTTCCTTGGTATTTTCCACTGGACAGCAAGGAAGGTCTTCTCATGACCTTGAGTGGGCGAGGAGAGAGCCTGGTAAAGCGGTCTGTGTGCTGCCCCACACAGCACCCCTTGTGCTGGGGCCACCCACGGCATTCCTCCCCGCCAGCATCTGCGTGCTCAGTGATGCCGCTCCGCAAGAATCCCCTCTCCCTCTCCAGCCTCAAACATCTGGAGCCATGCTCATGCCTGGCAAAGGCTTTTTTTGTAGGCACTGACAGATCCCTAAGGACCTGCGATTTCCAAAAATAGAATCCCTCTCATATTTTGTACAAATCCCACACTAAATTACCCTTCTGGGCTCCCAACTGAGCCTATCAACTGAGGACCTGATTTCCGTCTTTGTGAGGTGTGCCTATGGCCCTGAACCTGCTCAGAGCCCCTGCTGCCCTCAGTACAGATCGGTGAAGTCAACAGACTTATTTCCAACAGCTGTCAGCAATCTGTTCCCAGGCACTCCCTTCTCTAAGGAAGGGGATTGATGCTAATCTGGCAGCGAAAAGCTGCTTCCCTGCACTACAGTGATTTAGAGCTTAAAGGTCATTTTAGATTTTTAAGAACATGCTCCATGTCCTAATTCTGCTTTTCATCCATGCACAAAGAAACATCCTTCGCATCAGGATGCTGCCTCACTTGCCAGAACAACTGTGGGATTCTGAGCGATCACTAATTACACTACTTGCTTTCATCTGTCACATGCAAGTGGGAACCGTGGTTACACTTGAATTGAACTGGGTCCTTGGGTGTTCATGTGAAGAGAGACAAACACTCAGAGAAGCTGCAGGTGCTGCAAGAGCATCAGCAGAGGGTACCTGGCATTTCTGTCTCTGGCTGCTCTTTCTGCATTTCCACCAGAAAGTTTTCACACTCTTTCTAGCTGTGCGCAACACAGACACCATGCTCTGCTCAGAGTCAGCAGCCCCTGAATGTGACAGCAACACCACAAGAGCTTTGGGAAGAGGTGGAGACAGAAGGCAGGCTAAGAGTGCAGGGATGCCACAATGACCTATTGCCTTCTCTGCCCCAATCTGTCCTCACACCCCTGGGCCAATGTTTGGGTCCTCCTGACCATACTTGCCCATCAGAAGTTTTATTTTAACTATCACAGAGTAGCTGAATCCTTCTGACTCAACTCCTGCCTGCCAGCGTGCTTCAGCCTTCTGCCCTCCCTCTCTGCAGCCTGCAGCAGTTTGCTCTCAGGCATTATCTGGCTTCAGCATCTGCCCAACATGGGTATGGCTGCTGACACGCCATCAGCAGCACTGCCAGTCCAGAGATGCCGAATATCTACCTCCCATGCCCAAGAGTCACTCCATATAATGAGTAGTATTCAGAGCTAAAAGCTGGGATCTAACAACAATGCAGAGGCCAATTCCCTCCCTGAGCAGCTAGAAATCATAAAACGATAGGGAAGTCCCACACCCCCACTGTGCAGCTTGTGCTCCTTCCCTGGAACGGCTCCAGCTCCCATTCTTGGAAACAGCTCTTGGCCACTGGAGAGAAGAAAATTCTCTCTTTCCACCCGTCTGACTCACAGCTCCCGAAACACTTCCTTCAAAGTCCTAGTCTAGGATCTGGAAGTTAGGGAGAAGTCCATGCAGTGTGACCCTGGGCCTGGGTAGAGCATCACTGGGATCTCAATTTTAAAAGCTATTCTTTCAGATCTGGCAGCAAAATGCACACCTTGGCAAGTTCCAGAGAAACAAATCACAGCAAAGTCAAAGAGAAGCTTTACTGGCATTTACCCTCTTCCTGAAGTGAGGGAAGCCCAACGTCCCTCTTAACCCTAGGGAAAGCTCTTTATACTAAGATTACCATGCCGCTCAGGATGTACTGTAGGATTCATGCAGACTGAAAGACATTGGTTATATTTTTTTCTATAAACTCTTCTTCCTCTATCATCTATGATTTCTCCAAAAAAACAATGTAGTGATGCCCACCATGGCTTCAGGCAGTAGCAGTATTTGACCCAGTGATGGGAAGATCTCTCTCAGTAAAATCCCACATATGATGCAGCTTTATCTCAGTAATGTGCACAAAGATTTCCCCTTCCTTGGTGACAAAAAATATTTGAGACCACCCTTCAACTCATTATGGTTTTATGAACACAAAGATACATTCAAGTGAACTCAACTGAACACATTAACAGCCACAACTTCTTCCCCCAGCAAAGTGGCAAAACAACATGCTACAGCTGAAGTGCTTCTGATGTCTGCTGGCAGCATCAGCCAGGGCTGGGGACATACTGCTGAGGACACTACAGTGGTGGTGGCTCTCAAGGTAAGGTCTGTGCTTTTGTAGCTGCTCTACCAAGGACTCTGCCAGCACAGCTCTGCTGGTGACACACCTTTTCCTATCCCCAAGGGATACCACTGAGCCTGAAGTCTAGTGTAAGCCAAACATAGAAAACAAAAGAAGGTTTATTCCACCTGGTGTTAAAACAGATGACGCTACGAGGTTACGTATCAAAACGAGGTCTCTGAAGAGCCGGAGTCTCATGAACCAAATACCCCATTCTTGACAAGCTAAGCAGAGGGGACCAAGTACAAGCAGCATATAAAGCTTTGCACATCTTGTATAGGCCTCAGATCCTGAGCTGATTAAGGACCAGGAAGGGCCCAGCATGATTCAAGTCAGCGTTAAACTACTTTTTAAAACAAAGCCTGCTGCAACAGTCCAATTCATGCTGCTTGCCTGGTCCCAACAGCATGTGTGTCTGGGACAGCCCCGTGCAGTGTCTGTGCCAAGAAGGCAGGCACAGACAACACAGGGAGAGTGCAGCAACTCTGATTCTCTCTCCAGTAAAAGGACAGCTGCCTTGATTAAGCTAGCAGCTCCAAATCAGTTCTACAGTCACTCAGTTCAAGAGTCTGAGAAGCAGCAGGACAGCAGTCACTGCCAGTACTTAAGAGGATATATACTGGTTCTCTGAACTGCTTGCCTTCCTCCCACAAGGATCCTGTAATTTAAGCAGTACAAGGACTTGCCTACACTACAAAACTAGATAGTTTAAGCCAGCTAAGAATTTGTTTGTGATTATTAGTTTATGCTAACTTTAATATACCACCTAAAACCATACTAGATCTCAGTTAAATCTACGTGCTTGTTCCAACAGTCTCCAGAAAGAAATGTTTTGTTAAAAATCAGTGTATGATTGCATGAGTATTTTGATGCAAACCACGCGATGGCCAAACAGAAACATCTTTTCAGGAGTCACTTGGAAAATCCCTAGAACTGATTTCTCCTGAAATCAACCTCAGATTTTCCCCTAATTCTCATGTCATTTAGTATGACCTTTGCTAACATGCATCTAGGTCAAAATTGATATGGCTTAAGATGGGATCAATCTGTGTGTGTTTGAAAACTTCAGGGAACCCCCAAAGACCTTTCCCCTTCTCCACTGCTCCAATTTGCTGCAGCAATGCCATACAGTATTCCCAGATGTAAACCCCAACTACTCGTCTAAAGCAAGTTGCTCTGCTGTCCCGAAATTTGTGTGCATGTCTAGACTTGTTCTGCTCCTCCCCTCCATCTACAGAAAGATATAACAAAACTGGAAGAGATTGAGGGACAGACAACCAGGATGATCAATGTTACAGACTGGCTTTGGAGCAAGAGCCTAAGCAAGGAAGAACTAAGCAGACTAGAATCCTTCAGCTTGGAAGACAGTTGAGGGGAGAATATGAAAGATCCTGGGAGATCACAGGAAGATGATAATACATGGGAATAGATGCAAGCATTCCACATTCTCCACTGTTTTAACTCCGGGAGCTCTGCAGCTTTGCACTGCCAAAATCCAAGAAAATTGTGATGCAGCTCTGGGACATCACTGGAGATGTGCCTTTTGAAAAGGAAAAGCATTTAGTGTTCTCTCAGTAATTTGTGTTCAGTCTTTCCAAGCAACACCTTCAGAAATAATATGTTCATACTCCTTTTATAGTCTCCTGGTCAGTCACTCCGGTTTTTGCAGCATTCCCAGGGAGACCCTGAAGTACTTAGATATTTTGCATCAAATTCCCTGCATAAAGATGATGAAACCTATTACATCAGAAGTTCATGCTATAAACAGAGCGCGGTCTGTGCCTCTAAGAAGGACCAAGCTATGCTACAACAGATGGGGTTTTTTTTGCCAGTGTTTCCTTTTGTTTTCTGCACAGCCAAAGCCAGATTCAAATAAAAGTTTCCAAGATCCATCCCATATCCAGAGAATGAAATGCTTTTGCCTTCTACACAGGTGCGTAAGAGCCACCACGAAAGACTGACATCCTCAACCTTTCCCTCAGACTAAATGACAGGACAGGCTTCTTCTCCATGTATATTGAGATGAGAAAAGCATCTCAGGTATGATTCTTCCTCAAATTCTTTCTTTCAACACATCTGCACACGGGCAAATATACTGAAGGAGTAAATCCTACTTACGTAGATGGATCTCTGATACACAACATGCACAGCCATGCTATTTACTTCAGTGCGTTCCTGACAAAGCTGGTAGTGACAGCTGTGCTTGTGTCAGCATAGCTGCATGTATGACAGACTAATGGAGAGTAACTTTGTAACAAAAAATCCAACTAAATCCATCACAACAGTGAGCTCTCTAACTGATCGGCTACAAAACTAAACAGGTATATAAGGGAAAATTTCCCAAAGTATAAATTTCAAAGAAATCTTTTTAGAATTCAAAGGCTAAGGATCTTTTTTAATAAAAATTATTATTCCTAATATTTCAAACACTAAGAATCCCATCCTGAATAACAAACAATTCTGCTTTCATTATCTGAACAGATTTGGCAGAGACAACATAATGAAATTCACATGTGTTCATGCACCAGACTCCAGACCTCCATTTGGAAAGACAGGCTTTTCTCACACAGCGTAACCTGGCACTGTTTTTCTGCTTGGCTCCTGTCCAAAGGCCAAAACCTGAGGATTAATGGTCACTGTTACAACATTTGCTTTCTGCTTAGGAATATACGAGCAGTGGGGTTTTTTAAGCTATATCTTTGAAATGGCAAAAAAGAAAAGAAATTATTTTTGAGATTTTTTTTCTAACAAAATTAGTATTTATCTAAGAAATACTTGCTGCCATTTCAATGTGTCTAATTAACCAATAGCTTTATTGCAAGGCAAACACTGTCATTCTTACAGGAAAGAAAAAAACCCAAGTTTTAGAAGTAACACCTGCATGTTGAGAGCAGCTGTGGAAGGACAGTCTCAGTAAATTCCAGAATAATTTGATTAGGGGTTGATTATATTATCCTGAGACTAATAAAATAAGATTGAAGATTCTATAACAGTCTGGGTATTTTGATTTGGTTTTGGGTTTTTTTGTTTTAAGATAGAGCAAAGCAGGTAAAATGCTCCTACACTGACTCCTTGCTTAAGCTTAGGACACCTCAGACTTTTTTGTTTTCCCCAACATTTACAGCTTCTGAAGATAAAGGTAGGAGACAGAAGAGTTTCTTGTCATGACAACAGACGCCAAGATTTAGGCTGTCGTTAGACTGCAGATTTACTTCTACATCACTACTTTCAAGGAACAAAGTTCACTGAATCACATGAATAAGGCAGCAGCCCAGGTCATCAAAACTGAAAGCTCCATCCTACCAAGATTCAATTCCAGTCCTTAGTCTTTATTTCTGTGCCTGAACAGCTCACATAGCTCACAGCTGGGACCAAAACCCCAGTGGGCTGGTCACTGTGCAACTGAAGATAGGCCCTACTTGTAATCTTGAAAGTTAATACACTGTCTGTCAACAGCTACATACTGTTCACAATGGCAAAACCCAGGTCCCAAGGAAAGATTATGACAGCAAGTCATTGACTTCACAGAGCCCATAGGGAGCTCATATCAGCCCTATGCTATAGGCATTAAATCTTTCAGCCTCAACTTACCTTGGCTGGAAACATTCACGCAGAAATAAATCCCGTAGATCTGATACACATACAGAGTTCCTGGTTTCATGAACATTGCTGCATTTCGTTGAGTTTGCTTACCACCTTTTGAGTGGGAAGCCTCATCTTCCCCACCCAGATAAGCTTCTGTTTCAACAATCCTCCCCCAGAGTTCTCTGCCATCAGGAAGTTTGCGAACTAAAATCTGAAAAAGAGGTCAGAGTGCATCAGTTAGCAACCCTCTGTACAAAATAATCAGAGCACAAGAGCTTGGAAACAGAGAAGTTGGAAAAAAGGACCTGATGGTACTACATACTCTCCTCTCCATCTAGCAGTCCAGTCTGTAGGCTAACGTGAACTTTTGCAGCTTCTACTGTCCAGGCCACAGCCCAGTACAAGAGGTTCCTACCTGTCCTTCACCCCACAAAATGCCTGGAGCATCTAGACGTGGCAGTATCATAAATCATAATTTATGATCCTATATACAATAAAGCCCACTGAGTTGCTTTTGCGGTTTTTTTTCTGTATTCTCCACCGCAATCCACCAGGTTTAAGGCAAAAAAGTACCACCAATATCAACCTTGAAGCATCATGAATGTATATTCCTTAGATCAGAAGAAATATGACAGTGGCACAATTAAATAACTACCATGATTAGATAGTCTCTCTCCACAGAGATGTTTCAAACAAGTCCTAGTCCCTAACCATAGAGATAATCATGACTGGAGCGAGTATCAATGCTATTTCTGTATTTTCTGCACCACAGAGAGGGGCAGTGCAGGAGAACTGGGAATTGGCTTCAGGCAGACAACAACAGATCTTACTTACTACATTGTGTTCCTTGCTGCTGGTACCTCCTTAAATAAAACAAAGCAGATGCTGGGGAAAAAAAAACATGACAGCAAAAAGATTCTCTTAAAAAAGAAAACAATCACTAAACTTTGTACAAAGTTTTTTATGGTTTGACCTTATTTCTAAACTTCTTATTTTACTTAATGTGTGTTCAAGAAATACTGCAGTATAGTCTTATTTATGCAACAGCTATCAGTTTAATTATATTACATTCAGCGCTTCCATATTTGAAAACCAGCCATTCAAAAATGACCTTCAAGAAACAAAGCTTAATTCCTAACAGATGTTTGTGCTGGACTACTAATGCAGTTCTTGACCTGATCCAGTGTGGATGCTTCAGAAGTCAGTTTCAAATGTTGCAACTCCGGTATATCACGGTTTCCCTACAGTACTTCTCAAATTGTTGAAAACAATCAGTTTATTATTTTTATGAAAAATGCAGCGACTTCAGAAAAGCACTGGTGTTTAGTAACTGCCTGTAAACACCCCAAAAGCACACCCATGTGGCCACATTTCTCTTTCAATATGATGAAATGCAATGGTTAGGTTCCAATTTTAAGAGCATGCAGGCATTTATAATAACAATGATAACATATAGTTATAATTCTAAGAAAATGAGAGAATAGACTGGGTCATGGGAGACTGGGGGTTATACTAGAAAGAAAATCTAAATTTAAGATAGGAATCTCCTGGCTTGTAATTCTAGGCCTAAATAGGAAAAGTATAGAATTATGACTAAAATATCACCTGCCCAGGGTAACTGAATGCACAAGTACTGTGAGACTTCAGGTATCCCCATGTAGACCAAGTAAGTATCACAGTAGGACAGGACACAGGCTATATTTTCTCAGACACCATCAAATGCTTTGCAGGGCAAGTAATCGGGGATCTCACAAGAAAAGACAGAACTCTTAAACTGATCCAGAGCAAAATGCAAAGTCTTTTCCAAAGACTTATCCCTGAAAAACAACTTTGTGTCATGACAATGAAATATAAAGTTCAGTGTCCTTCCACAAGCATTAAGGTCCAAAAATAATCTATCAGAATTCTGCTTACCAGCAAAAAGGGGAAACTACATAAAGTGAGGAAGCTTGTTAGGAAGAACTTAAAAGAGGCAGCCAAAGGTTAAAGCTGGAAAGGCAAGCCTCTAGCAGGATGTCTATAAAGATAGCAAACACACATGACTTATCAGAGAGAGGTTAAGACAGACCAAAAAAACCCCAGCAGGGTTAAAAAGCAGAGCAAACGCGTCAATTACAAGCAAGAGAATATCCTTAGAAAATAAAAAAAAAGCTAGACACACTAAGACAGGCCAAAACCAACAGTTTGTGGAACAAATTCCTAAAGTTATCTAAACCAATGAGAACCCAGAGAGTCTGTTCACCCTACAGACAATAAAGGTATAAAAAAGACTCAGAGAAGATAAGGCCATAGCAGTGAAACTAAAAACACATTTTGCAATTGCATTTAGGAGGTCCCAGACTGGAACTTTTGATAGGGAAAACACTGGAGGAACTCCCTCCCATGGAAACAGCAGGAGAGTTTTTTGAAGGACTGCCTAAGCAGAAGAGACATGTTTAGTTTCCCCCACTCTGATTTCCAAAGGCTTTCAACCAGGTCCAAAGATTCCTCAAAGTTTCTGCAATGGGGTAAAGGAGAAGGTCCTTTCATGAACAAGTAATGGCTTGAAAACTCAGAAACAAAAGTTAGGAATAGCAGTTTTCAGAGTGAAGAGAGTTTAACTATGGGACTGTGGTGTCCTAAACATCTCCATGCTAGGGCCTGTGCTGCCTCGCATATTTGTGTTAATAATCTCAGAAAAGTGATCATTAGAGAGCTCACCATGTGTACTGACAATATTGAGTTATTCAGAACAGCAAAAATAAAAGCAGATAGTATGAGATACAACCTTCAAAGCATGCAGGGCAGCATAACAGAAAGTATCGAGCACTCTGCTGAACTTGCAAATAAGAACTAAATATTCAAGTACACTATGAGGGTGGATACTGGTCAAGAAAGGCCAAGGGCCTGCCACGCTATTAGCATCACAAGATAGTAAAATGGAGGCAGAGAAGGAGATGTTGCTGACTGCAGAGCATTACTTTCTACTGGGCTCAGCCAAAGCCAAAGCCAAAAACAAATAAAGGAATACCTGAATGGAAAATAATGGGCCTGAAGCAACCTTCAAACCACAAATAGCAAAGTACATTTCAGTAAACCAGAAAAAAGGGAGAACAACTCCACAAAAAACTAATTCTGAAATGTGACAGTAAACCAAACCTGAAAAATTACTCCTCTGACTTAATCCAAAATAGATTTGGCTACTAGTCTTTAAATTCCACTGCACTTAACAAGAGAAGGAATGAGAGCTGTATTCCTAAAATAGCAAAGCCCTGGAGTCAAATGGCAAAAAAAGAATTTCATCCTTTTACACCAAGTTATTAGCTAGCACATGCTCCAGTACAGTAATCTCAGTGTTCATGTCTTACCTGTCCCAGAAAGGACTTGGCCAGACTAATACAGGGCTGGTTGAAAAAATCATCTTCTAGCTGGGAAGATTTTTTTTTCTCTATCGCAAAATATTTGCTGCTTTTTGGAGAAGAATCCCCATCAGGTGTAGCGTTCAAGTTCTCCAAGGCATCAAATGGAGGGAAGCTGGAGTTGCTTTGGAGAGCACTTAACTGAGCCAACAGCTTTCTTTTTCTTGGCATAGTTCTAGAAAATTCATAAAAATGTAATTAGGAATATAAAGCTTATTTAAAAGTAACTTATTTCCACAAACTCTTATTTTTACACATCTCTTCACAACAATGAATCTGAAAGCTGTAACTAATTGGACAACTTCGGCAAGCTACAGAAGCAGGTGACAGATTTAGCTGTGTCTACATCAGGCTAGGCAAATATTGGGCTTTACGGATAAGCAAATAGAAAACTGCAGTTTGAGTATTCCTCTTTTAAGGACTACAGATAAAAAGCAACTTATTTTTACTGCTAAGTGAAGCAACGTTTGCTAACTGTTAGGTTAGGAAATTCAGAAATTGAAAAAAAAAAGAATCAGTACTATATACTTTTTACCTACAGCTAATGTAATCTGTTAAGCAGACAGAAAAAAATAGGAAACAACCACCTCAAAAAACTGTGCTGACTCAGAAAGTCCACAGAAGTCATGTATCAATCATTTTAAACAGTAGTGTAACCAGATCAGAATCTAAAATTCCACAGGGGACAGAACATTTGAGTTGGGAGATGCCCTATTTACAGTCACAGTGACAAACTTGTTTATCATGCTGTAGAAATGTTTCTGTTAGAACCTCCACAAAATAAGCTTTAAATTCAACCTACCAGAAAGATGAAGAGTAGTCTGTTCCAGTCAACAGTATGTATTTGAGGCAACTACGTAACCTGCGATTGTTCTTCTAGGTTTGTCACCAATTTACTATGCAAGCTTCAAAAAGTTAATCTTTCTTTTTCTGTGACGCAGTCCTTACACCTGTCAAATAGGAACAAAATTATTTATTCACTGTATAAAGCACTTTGAAATAGGCTAAGAGATTTTGGAGCTAGAGATCATGATTCAAATGGTGCATCATTAGCTCAAACTCAAGAATAATTTGCAGTTTTCTATTGGTCTAGCAAAAGACCATCTCCCAGCTGGGGCACTGCTGGAGGTGCTCTTTAGCCTTTTTTATACAAAAGGCTATGAGAACAGTGGGGAATGCACTTCTCCTATACTCAATACACAAAAAGCTGAAACCAAACTTTTAAAATTCCCCTAATTGCACTAATTTTGCAAAGTGTCAGCCTCAAAAAAGGACTCTTACAAGAGAATGCAAAGACACTAGGTTTTAGAAGATGCCTCATCGGTTCTGAAATTCAACCACATGTAGATACAAGGGAAAAAAGCAAAGGTTCAACATCCCACATAATTAGAAATGGAGAAAGAATCCTATATACAGCTGAACCTGCAAGGGAAGTATATACCTAAGTAGCTGTTACCACTCATTTTTCAAGAGATCATCAGCTTTTAAAAATGACTACAAAAACTTTAACCATCAAAACCAATCTTTATCTTGCTCTGATGTTTCTCACAAAGAAAGATCCACCGGTAATAGTTTCCTTGAACTACACTGAAACAAATTCAGCATTGCTACACTCTGGATCACCAGCGCCAATTCCCCAACAGTGAGTGCTACACTTCACTTCAGAAGAATCAAGACACAAATGTATAAAAATAGGCAGGGGAAGAAAAAAAAAAAATTCACATTGGCATGACTGGCAGAGAGGTGGGATGTTTTTATTTTTTTTCTAAACATCTAATTCTTTATTGCAATAATTCAGTAATGTCAAAGACTTGCCACAGAATGGCCAGCTCCATGCCAGGCATTCTGCTCTGAACTGTGGCTTTCACCTGGTGGGAATTCTTAAAAATTTTGTCAGAAGTCACCAGCCTGCCTAAGAAAAAATTGTCTGGTGGCCTTCGCAAATGAGAGTCCTGTCTAGGAGAAACGGTGCCAATAGGAAAAAGGGTTGCAGGAAGGAAGGGCCGGAGGAGGAACACTACCCGACATCAGACTGACCCTCTAAAGGCTCAGTCAAGGGAATGCTTCACACTGAAGACAGTACTTCCAGACTTCTCTGACAGTATTAACTGGAACTTCCAGTTCATCAGCCACACATAAAGACATGCTGAAAACATGGCCAATTTGAGTGGAGCATTAACACATTTGGTAATTTGTGCTTTTATGGAATGCGACATCAGAAACAGGATCTGAGTTGCCTGGCACCTACTGCATTTCCAATTAAGTAATTCTTAAAAGCTGCATGTGCTCGCACATAAATGTTATACCAGAAGCCTTAGGCCACTTGTAATTTCATTGCTATGGGCTGATCCTATACAGATCTCAGCATCTTCAACTCTCATTAGACATAGCAGTAGGGAACTGCCTTATAGTCATGAGAAATGGGTCACATACAGAAACGTGATTGCTTTAAAAGCAAAAACGCAGAATGAGGGGACTGTAACGCCATCTCAGAAATCCAGAAAAACCCCAGTCTACCCTTTGTCTCCCTGCTTGTTCATACCAAGATATGAAACAAAACTCTATGCCTCAAAGCCTATCTACACTTTCTATAAAGGATATTGCTTGTATATACAAATCCCTTCTTGCCTGTGAAAAAGCACACTGTAGAACACAGTACATACCAAGTACCCAAGCCCTCTGTATTTGGGAAGTAAGAGACACGATATCTTCACATGTAAGTCTACAGACAAATTCTGCAACTCTTCATTTCTACCTAGATTTTCTTGCTTGTATAGTAAACAAATTCTACTTCTGTGCCTCAAGTAAGAGTCAGCTGTGGGTTTAATCTCTTTTTACTAACCCTGCTGTAACCAAACCAGCTACAAGTTGTTAAGCACATGTGTGTACACATGCACAAAAAAAGTATGGATGTCAGAAAAGGAAGATCAAGAGCTGAATAAGTTTGCACAAGTGCCTAAAGTGTTCAGGGCTGCTGGGCTAGCCTCAGGCAAGTATTTAGGGACCCTGCAAGCCAGAATCAGAAAGACACTGAAAATCTGTGTAAAATACAGTTCAGTGGCAGATACGCCCTGTAGTCAAGGCACAACTGAGTCTACACAGGCTTCTTTAATCCTAAGACTGCATTTGTAGGTATTCCCTTATGTATTTAATGAGCTTTCACTAAAAAGGAGGCAAAAAAAAAAAATCCCACAAGTAATTTGCATGTACTTTTGGCTCACAGGTCCAGATAGCTGCAGCTGTGAAGTTTTCCTCATGCACATACATCTTTCTGATAACATGATGAAGTGTACATAAGAATACATTGCCACTTCTGGAGAGACAATTCCTCATACCAGTTTCCAGTTGTACAGATTTTATGTGGGAGTATATAAACGGTCAACGCTGGGTCAGACCAAAGGACACCTCTCCCTGTATCCTGCTCTCCAGCACAGGTCAAAAGCAGGAGCCCAGGGAAGAACAGAATAAGCAGACAGTGCTTCTCCACACATCCTCCATGTCTCTAGACCAGAACCTTCTGAACCAGGCACAGTTTCTGTGTACTTAGGAACCGTGAGCTTATGCAGTCTTCCCTGAGCCTGTGTAAAACTATCCAAACTGAGACTTTACTGATAAAGAACGCTTCACAGAATTAGTCATTACGGCTCCAAAAACTCATTTGGTGTGTGAAATTAGGACTGCTCCCCACCCACATGAATCAGTTTACACTTGCTATTCATCACCCTCAGCCCTCTTCTTTACTACCTCAAATAAGGTAAAGCCAGCTGGAAACATTGTTTTCCAGGTCATTTACAAAATATCCCTGCGGCACCCCAATGGTGACCTCCAGCCACCACTAGGGCTGCCCACTTACTCACATCCTCTTTCCTATCTTTGCACCAACTGTTTATTTATGACAGGGAACTCCCTTATTATGTCAAGGGCTGCTCAGGTGAGGGCTCCTGTTTAAAAGCTTCCTGAAATCTGAGTACAGACTGTAAGCCAGAGCTCTCAACATGCTTATTTGGACCGTCAGAAAATTCCAACTTTTTTTTAAGGCATGACTTTCCATTGCAAAAGCCACATTGGCTTTCCCCACTATATAATATTTATGCAGGTGTCCAACAATTCTACCTTGCTATATTTTCTACTAATTCAGTTGGTAGTGGTCAAACTTCCAGATCTGCAGTCCACAGATTTCCCCTTGCACTCTCTTTAAAAAGTAGTGACACATTCACTGCTGAGACCATCGTTAGCAGAACTGTCCCTGGGGGCTTCATCTGGTTCAGCAACTTGTTCCTGCCTGTTGTCTATTTGTTCCGTAACTTCTTACACAGACACTTCATTTTAAGCCAGATCCTTCAGTGAGGATTTCTATCCACCTTTTCTGTCTAGTCTAACCTATTAGTAACCAGAATTAAGTTAATAATGTATAGCTTCCTGGACAACACTGTGAGAAGCAGGCAAAAAAACCTTCTTGAAAGAAGAGTGCAGGCAAAAGGTAATATACTATAATTATAAATATTAAGTCAATCTCTCCACAGACAGACTTTGACACTATATGCAATCCTGCTAATATGTCAAAAGTATGGCAAAATGAATGGTTTTATTCACCTTACTGAGTGCCAGGGATGTCATTTCCTGCAAGGCATCCTTGCAATTCCAGTCCTCACTCCTACTGCCTACTGGATATCTTGAGCTTTTTGGAATGAAACTTACTCATCCTTCTGTAAAGAACAAGGAAGATAAAAGTGAGGGAGAGTGATGAAAAGTCATGAAAAACCCTAAAAGCCTTCACAGCAAAATTATGCTCTGTTTTGGTTGACTCTCTTAAACCATTTTGTTTTGTTCTGGGTTTTTTTCCCCCCCTCAATATTCTAGCTGCTATTTTTGAGTGAGTGCCAAACTTGCATATTAAATGAAACCAAACAAGTTAAATAGAATACTAACAAAGGATGTTAGCTAGCTCAGCCTCCTGAGATTTGAGTTAACCAAGCCAGCATTTAGTTAACCAAGGCAGCATTTAGAGAGGCCACAAACACTGATCAGGAAATGGACACAAGGATTCAAAGTCATCAGCAGTTCAGGTTTTTTCTTTGTATCTAAATTATTTGTAGCAAATGTACGTTGGGTATATTTGGCTAATTATCCAAGAGCTATAAGTCTTACTCTTTTCCACCTATATGATGGCAGTGAGAACACTCCTGATTTGTAAAGCATATTGAAAGAGCTATATAAGGGGATACAGAACTAGTTATACTTAAGACTTAGGTACCCATCTTATAAAATGACCCTAGAAAACACATTCCTTCCCCAAATCTTAATATTGCATGATAAATTATTTAGTTTTGGCATGGGGGTTTGACTCAATGACCAAAGATGTTTCACCAAAGCCTTCATTAAGGCACTGACAAAAAGAACTTATGACTCAAATGCTGAAACATCTGAACAATATCTACGAAGAGAGTTCTACTTAAGAGTTCCTGCTGAAGTACCAGTAACTTAAAGACTAGGAAGAAAAACATAAACAGCAAAGACACAGAGATTTACCTGGAAAAGGATCCTGGAGCTGCTCCCTACACGAGCAGGGAAGTGGAGGGTTTTCACACCTCCTCCCGAGAAGTCAGCCCTAGGCTTAGGCTCAGAGAAACTGCTATTTTACAAAGCAGGACTGTATTAAGTCCTATGAGAAGTCTTTGACTTAAAGAGAGAGAAAGAGAACAGATTATTTCAGGCCAAGCTACTCAAAGAAAGGCCTTAGTATTCATGCTCTGCACTAAGAACCTGAGTGCTCCAACAAAACCATGTGGAGGGAATCACAGCCACACTTTGTAATCAGTCATGAGACAGGCTCAGTAACAGCTAAGGTGATGCTCAAGGCGATTAAATTGGGACTGATTCAATGCACATGCTATGAGCCTCTGTCTTTAGTAAGAAGGTCCCTTTCTTCTATTTTCAACCAGAGGAAAGGCTTGTCCTACATTTAGCGATTCAGGATTAATCTGTACAGTATATCCTTGTTACAGACAAACTATTTGTGTGTACTTTGCATTGCATTACCAAACACTGTTAAACAGTTATAGTAAGAACACAGAACACTGGATCAAAGCCTTAACAGATGATGGTCTGCAGAGGTACAAGTGTAAACACAGGTGAAGAAAAATAGCTGATGTAATGTCCACCATGAAAGTGGTGGACATTTTCAAAACACTAGAACAAAGCCTTCAGGCCCTATATAAACAAAGAAGCATCTGAGGAGAAAGGACAATTTCCCGCACAGCTTTGGATAATATGCTGTATGTGACAATAGCTTGCTAATGGCAAGTGAGACAAAACACTTCTGATGATATAACAGAGGAACAAAAGCAAAAGTCTCTTCTATAAAAAGATGCTTCCAGGAAACCAGCAAATCACTGCTGACTGTAGAGGCTGTGAAAATCTGAGTCAGACACAGATTTGAACCAGTAGAACGCAAAGGCACTCCCATTATGCCACAGTAGCCTTGCTCCTAACATGGCAATCCTATTTAGAAAAGCCTCATTTTTTTTCAAAACAGGTTTGCAGCACGTTTCTGTAGACTGGGTATTTTTCCTCCTTGTAGGGTCCAAACCATATCACTTTTGTGGCACATCTGTACAGCAGCTGCTCTTTGACCGCTTAACTGTGAAACCACTCTCCTCCCAAAATCTCTACAGTATATATTACCGATTTCATAATGCTTATTTAATTAAGCACAGAAATGCCAAAGGAAGCCTCTGCAGAACAAAAGTGACACGAGAGCTAGGAAATAACAGTGCAACCTTATTCAGAGATCATTGGTACACCTTATTTAACCAGCTGATCACACGCCTCTTTCTCCCCACCTGAACTGTATTCAGAAAATGGGGATGTTAACCTTTTCCTTAAGTGTTCATTGCAATATACTCGCAACGTACATAAAATAGTTTTTATAGTATTGGAGCGGGTCACTTCCATACGCAGGCCTGTTACATGGTAATAAACAGTACTAATAACCATGAAGGCAATGCAAGACCCCTCACAGCTTTTCCTACTAGGCACGTGGGAAACATTTACGACTTCTGCCGATGAAATCTTTCTGCGCAAAACCGGTTAACGTGGCACTAAGCAGAGCCGACGAGTACGTTATTTTTACACAGTACAGTAACTCGCACGCTCATGTTGTTGAAGGGACTCAGCCCTCGGAGCAGCAGCGCCGGGCCTGCGCCGCTGCGGGGAGAGGGGGAGGCCCCGGC